CTACTCAACCTAAACCTCTTAGGCTATAGCAGAAAGGGGACAACCAGACTTCTTCTCTAGAAGAGGATTTTTATTCTTGATAGTGGTAAAAGAAGGGAAAAAGTTTCTTTGAAGGAAAGAATAACTTGACAAGCCCTCCAATTTTTGTCTCGTTAAAATTTCCTAAAAAGGAAAGTTTTTCAAATATTTGAGGGGAACGGGAAAGAGTTTTTAATTTTTGCGTCTATGTCTTTTATTAATATAAATAATAAAATAAAATTAACATTATTAAAAAAAAAACTCTTTCCCACTCTTCTCTCGATGTTTAAAAATTTCCTTTTTAGAAAATTTTTGAGTTGTTTACTTTTCTTCGTCTTTTTCTTTTCCTTTCTCTTTATTTTCCCTTCTCCACTCCTGTTTATTCCTTCTCCCCTATGCTTTCCCCTCTCTTCTTTATACTTTTTTTCATCTATATCCTCTTCTTCTCCTCTTATTCCTCTCCTTGCCAAAATTAGGTTTTTTTCTTTTATCTGAAGATTTTTCTTTCTAGGCCTTTCTTTCTCTTGAAAAATCTGCTTTTCATAGCATCAACCCTCTGGCCAGTTGGTTTTCTTTTCTCAAGGGTTATATCAAGAAGTGATAACTTTTCTCAAGGCGTGGGCTTTAGGAAATTTCTCTTTTTCATGATTTTTTAGAAAAAGGATGGATGGTTTATTCCCTCTAAAAGATCAACATGGTCATTATTATCAAATCTGATGCAGTTTATGAGTGATGGCTTTTTTAGACTGGATATATCTAAGAAACCGGTGTACAACTATTATTATCTGGAAGTATCCAAGGAGTTGTGCCTCATTATTTCCAGAGTGATATGGTAGCCAATGTTAATGCATTAACATAATGCTAGGTTAGTTGCAGGTGTTATGCTAGTGATTGGAGAAACTTAGTAGAATAATACGTGAGACTAAGGATTCCAGTTACCCTACAATACAAGCTGGTAACAACAACGAAAGTTCTCTACTCACCTCTCCAACAATGCAGGTCTGGTGTACAGGGTTAGATATCAACACTTATAGGAAAACTCATACTTCCCTATATTCAACATTTTTTTCAACAATCCAATACTTCACATGTAAGTCTTTTCTCTCTATCTCCTAGGTTTGAACTATTCTTTAACTAAAACACACCCTTCAGAGCTATCTCACAGCAAAGTTAATTGCTGCTTCTCAGCCTAAAGTCCTAGTGATGGGTTCAAATGAGGGGTCAATACTAGGTATATTTAGTGAAAGATTAACTCTATTTCAGGATGGCATTGGTGATGGAATTGGTTGCTGCCCTTTAGCCTAAAGTTCTAGTGATGGGTTTGAATAAAGGGTCAATACTAAATGCAGTTGATGAAGAACTGACAATATTTTGGTATGGTTTGTTTTTAATGTAGTTTGAATTCAATACTTTATCTGTTTGCCAGACATTAAGCCATATTTGGAAAGCAAGCATACCAATCCTAATTATGATTTGGAGTCAAATTTGTATATAGTGGCTGCAATGCCTTTATGTAACTAGGTATCATTTATTCCAGGCAGCTAGACGTCATTCAAAGTTTAATATAGGTTTTGAAATTCATTTTCCTGTATTTTTGGGTGGTGCTAAAGAGCGCAGGCGGATGGGCCCTTATGGTAAGCCTTGCGTTAAACCCTTTCTAGCAAGGGAGACATATACTGCATACTAAGTATAATATCTTGTCCTGTTACAAGTCTAAAATTTTATAATAAAAACACATGCGAGAAGCTGCCTATTCCTTCAAAAAAAAAAACAAAAAAAAATAAAATTAATATTGTTTGTTGTTAAAGTCACAATTAATTAAATTGTTGATTGTGATGATAAAGTTTGTTGATAGTATAATCTTGTTTTGATTGTTATTGCTGGAAATAGTTTTGTTTATATTAATTATTGTATAGTATACTGATAATACAAATTTGTTTTAAAATTTGATAATATTTAATTAATTAAGTATAAGATGATGATTAATTAACAAAGTAAACTGATTATAGTTTTTGATAAGAAATTTTTTTGAATGAAAAATTCAAAATTTTCATAATGTAGCAATATGTGTTAAGTAATATTGAAAGGTAAGAATTATATATATTGCTAGTGTCCAAACCAACAATATAAACAATTTTGATGAAGAGTTTGATTTTTTAAAAGAAAAAAGCCATTTAAGAAAAAAATTTGTTTATTTAGTAAGAAATATATATTGATAAGAAGTGAAAATGAAAAAAATTTCAAGAAAAGTTTATAAAAAAGCAATTGCCTTAAGCTTTTTCTCATGCAATCCAAAGAAAAAGCAATATTCCCAAACTTTTTTTCTTTAATCAAAAATTCCATTCCAATGTATCAGTGTGCTTCTTTAGTTTTTTTGAAGTTCTTGTAGTGAAAGTAAAAGAAGTATAAAGGACTTTTAAATAGTGAAAGGCAAAAAAAATATTGTGTACAGGAAAGAGTTTTTTTTTAAATAGGTAACATTTTTTTTCAAATAACATAGATTAATTGTTTTTATAAAATTCCAATAAATATTATATACTTGTTTAATTATAAAAAAAAATGAAATACAAAAATCCTCTAAATATATTCTTTTTAAATATAATATACTATATTTTTTTTCTTTAAATATTTAGTTTTAAGTATAAAACCTTTAATAAAATCCTCTTTCTAAATATATATTTTTTAAAAAAAATCGTTATATATAATTCTGAAAGAATGCATTTAGAAAGAGTTCTCTGTATTATCAAATATTTTAAAAATAATTATATGTTATATCTATCTAAGTATTTTTAAATTATTTATATATTTTTAACAACTTTTTAATTGTTATTTTATATATAGCACTATGTATAATACGACAATAATTGTCAATCCAGAAATTAGGTTTGAAGAAGTCACCATGTTTTCATGTATTTCAATATTTTATGATATTAGCACGGGATAAACATTGATCATCTAGCATATAGTATATTAGGTGTCATAAATAGACAATTAATTCTTTTCTCTCGTATCAAATTTAATTGCAATAATTATTATACTGTATATCAGTTTAAATATTTAATAAAGATTACAAGAATATATCCACTTAATTAAAAAAAAATCGTTCATTTAAATTTTAAATGAATTTTTCAGATAAGTATTTTTAATATTTTCAAATTATAATTAGATCGATTTTAAAAAATCGGTCCCTTGCCACAAAAGTTTTGCAGAACTTAAAATAATAAGCTTTGGTTAAAATAAAATTCAACTTATGAAAGATCAAGCGCCTTATTATCACATTTCAATAATTTTTTTTAAAATTCAAGGGGAAATGCAATCGCAAAAATTATAATAAATAGAGGAATAAACCTTGTCATCAATGCGCTGTAATAGTGTTTTTACGATATTCATACACGCATTAGAAATTTAAATTCAAATGCACTATAACTGTATCCTTGATTAATATCGTTTCTTTCCCCTGTCGTCGCTTATACATTCTCTCTCACTTATTTCTAATACTAATCTTAAATCATCGCTTCTACTTCGATATTCTTTACTAATCTTTCCCAGTGTATCTATGCAATCTCTACGTTTCATTACTAAATTTTCTAGTTGTTCTCTTGACTTACTGCCTTTCTTGCTGCAAAGCGCCGCAAACAATCTAAATGACGCGACAAGCTCTTTGAATGTATCATATTGACTACAAATGATTGAAGAAAATTCTTTAACAAAAGCAATATGATAATATGATAGAACGCAATGATAGATCTTTCACTTACATATCAATAAAAGCAACATGGTACCAAGCGAATATAAACACGGCACCGGCAGAAAGTATGAAACCCAAAGGAGTATAAAAAAATAAAGTCCAAATTGTGAAGAATAGTACCGTGTATGAAATCATTAACCACGCCAGACCCAAGAAAATTTTATTTTGGGCCATCGATTCTTCGTATTTTTCAAACTTCACTGAAACTTTACCCAACGCATAAATTGGCCAATGGAAAAATAGACTTGGCAAGAAGAATGGCAACTGAATCAAAAATTTGAATAACTCGCACATCAATGTATAAAGTGCCCAGGGTATAGAGAGACTGCGTTCTTCGTATCTTGATATGTCCGCATTTGAAAGTTGAAGCATGTCCAACGCAGTTTTGTACTGATCAAGTGAATTTTTCAATGAAACCACTTCTGGATTCGTGCTCGTGTAAAAATTGACAAGACTATAGAAATGAACGTTCGATTAGTCCTTCGGATTTTTGACACAGACAAAATAACTATATAATCACAAGTTACCTTTGAGTGACCTTTACGAAATCCTCTAGTGGAATGCGCTTGTCATCAGAAAACAACAGCAATCTGGTCATGGATGCGGCATTAGACGTTTTCCTAAAATTTTGAACATTCGGTTATCATGCGTGCACAAATATCTGTCGTATTATCCAGAAGATGGCGTACCAATCTGATGCATTTATAGTTAATTTTTCTATTTCAGACTCGATGTGTTTTGTTAATTTCTTAACAGTTGAGCGATTATTATTTTCAAATTCTTCAAGGTATGGCTCGATCCGTATTGGGGACCCATATCTGTCAGAATCCTCATGTTAGGTCATTGAGATGAGACGAAATCGATTTGAGAAATAATAAAACTTACGCGGCTATCACTGTACTCCTGTACTTCGATTTTCGCATGTAAGTTATTCCACATGGAACAATTATAACTGGCTGTGATATTCCATGCTCTTTCCTAACATCATTCTCCTCCTCACTGACCGGCTCTTGTTTAGCCAAATTCAAAGAATATTCCAAAGCGGCCTATAAATAAATAATAGATATTTAATGACGCGCATACAATATGTATTTTCTAGAATAAACGAGATCGTACCCATGAAGCACCATCCTTTAATTCCAAGAGACGTGATTCCGAATGTGATGTACCTGGTGAAAGAATGAAAAAATCGGCATCGTTCATGGGCGGAAATATTTACTCAACGATATATATTAATTATTATTACCTTCTGGAAAGACCGCAACGATTTCTCCTAATCTCAACACCTCAAATGTAGCCTTGAATAATGATTGATTGTTCTTGGTGGTTCTATCCACTGGCACTACACCACCGCTAACCAACACTGGTCTAAAATACTTGTTAGAAAACAAAGAATTCTTTGCCCAGAAATGCAATTTTCTTTTGTGAGGAAACGTAACAGCTAGTACTGCTACATCAACGATCATATTACTAATAACATTATGAAATAGATATTAAATAACATGGTTAGTAATATGAAATCCTTAAAGGTTACTGTGCACAATTAATTAACGCGTATTCTCCTTTATAGCATACTATATATCAGTCAAACATCAAATATCTATATGTTATTACCGCGAAGAAGAAAAAACGACTGATACATCACCTGTGCGTTGAACAGACAACAATTGGCCCTTCCTTCGGTATATTGTCATAACCGATTATTTTAATTTCTCTGTAGAACCCATGAATACTCCAACGTGCTAGAGTGGTAACGGTATCATATGCAATTCCAAACGGCATTTTGCTTTTTAATTTTAGAAGCAATAAGTATTAATGAAGTTTATGTGTGGAGCAGAACTTGTAGGTCGGTTGCGTCGGAAATTAACAGATAAAGCAAATGGAACGCTATTGAATACATGTTTTTTATTTGACTTAAATAGAATCAAATAGGTAGAATTTAACAATCAAAACGAGATGGTAACACCATTTGGGTTTTCTCAGATCTACCGCCACGCGGATCAAGTAGGTTCCCCAAAACCCCATCAGACATATCATTACGTAAAATAGATTTTTTTTTTTTCAAAAAATTTTTTTTTTAATATTGTACTGTATATACGAAAAAAAAAAAAAAACCATGGTCAGCGAATCGCTTCTTACTCCTTCCCCGCTCATACCTAAATCTCGACCGGAAATTATTCAATCGCTTATCGACGGTGTAGATCGGTATAATCCAGACAATGTTTCGATTCTGGAGGAATATCTTGGTACACAGTTGCAAGCTGAAGAGTATGACTTGATGGCAAACTTGGCAATCCTAAAATTGTTAGTATTAACATTTCAAAATCAAAATCATATTCCCTCTATATTATTACAATTTCGAACGTAAAATGATCCACATTTAAATGTGATGATGAGTATGAAAAAAATATGAACTTAGCACGAAATATTATGGCTTAAGTATTGAAGAATTAATACTTGCCCTCACTGATTTACTATTGTGGCATCATTTATCTTGGATTCCAATTTGTTCAGAATGAGTATTGTTGTCCCGATCTATTTATTCGTTTTCCTTCATATGATAATCTAAACAGATATCAATTCAACCCTCACTTGGTTAATGAACCCGTCATCATCAACATTCTCGTCAAATCACTCACAGCCATACCCAACCCCGATTTTAATTTATGTCTGTATTTACTGCACGAGTCACTTGTATCCTCTGATTTTCTCGTGAAAACATTATATGATATTATATTATTGGTTTTTTTTTTCCTATGATTCGATTAATCTTTGACTTAATTGTCTTTTTTAAAGCTCGTCGATGAGAATGTGGCCAGGTTAATTGAATTACAGCAATACCTGGAACAAGCAAGATACCAAGAATTTTGGAAAGTCTATGAGTCTGATGAAACTTACAAAGAACTTACCGTCGAGGCGACAGGATTCGAGGATGCGATACGTAAAGGTAGTAATAGTATTGAGGTTTTCTTCTTCCTGATGTCATCATACGTGAGGTATACTCAGAAAACGCGATCTTCAATAGTAATATTGACGGCAATCTCTATGACGTACCAAAGTATTTCGGCTGATCTGTTAGGCGCTTATCTCAATCTTGACTCTGGTGAGCAATTATTGTAATTGTCGATGAAACGAAACCATAACTTGCTAACTATTGGGTTCTTTTTTTTTCCTGCTATCACATAATAAAGAGGACAAAGAATTTGAATCTTTTATCCAAAGCCGAGGTCTTACTCATAAAGATGGAGTTGTTTTATTCCCAACAAATCATGATAATGAAGCAAAGCCGACGGTGATCAGGGAGAACATTAAATTTGAACGTCTGTATTAATTCTCATTTTCTGATGCTATTTGGTTACTATGCCTTCACGCTAACCATATGGATTACCCAACAGAATTGACGAAAGTTATTGGTTATTCGAATGAATTATAATCGACCTTTGTACACTTATTAAGATTTACGGAGTATGAAATCATCAAGTTGACTTGTGCATGCTGGATTGACACGAATTGATAATATGATTAATGTAATAATCTAATAGATAATAAAAACCGTGGAATATTGATTTGTATTTAAATTATTCAAAGGACTCAATGACATATATTATCGTTTATACTGGTTTTGATAAAAGCAAAGTATTTAGCTACTGTATATTTATGCCAAATTAATGTCAAACAATTTGTGTTAGTGATCCAATTGATAATGAATATAAGAATATCCTTAATTGGTAAAGCTTGAATTCAAAATAGCTTGCCAATAATTTATAATTAGTTGATTAATATGTATTTTTAATTCGAAATCAAGCTTTTTAATATTACTTTAAAAAAGATTTTTCGAAATATTAACATACAGTATAATATAATAGATATTGGTAATATGATATAGTTTATATTTTGTGCCAAATTTTTATAATTCCTGTTAGAACTATGTATAAATTATGATATAGTTGAGCCAAATTTATAACTTTAACCAAAATTATACACTCATCCTGGATTATCTTTTTGTAATTCCAGTCGAAATTATACATAATATAAGTCAATATGTTATCTTTGTTAATAAAAGATTTTTTTTAAAAAAATTAAATTTTAGTTATAAATAATTATTATAAATAAAAAAAAATCTTTTTAAAAAAATTTTATTATAATATATAAATGCTTTATAAGTGCAAAGTATACAATAAGTTAAATATTAATCTGCTTACAACTAACTATTAAACAATATATTTAAAAGAATTTAAAAATAACATATGTTAAATAATACTAAGTATTTTACTATTTATTTGGATTTTTTAAAATAAATCGATAAACAAAAAAAAATCCATAATAATTATGCTATATATTTTATAAAACTTTTTTTGTTGTTTATAAAAATTTTATTAACAAAGTACTTGTATATAATTAATATAAATAATAATTTGATATATTATTATTATACATGTTTCCTTATTACTATAAAAGAAATTTTATTAATAATTTTATTATATATATAATTTTTTTATTATTATTGTTATTTAAAAAACTCTTTTTATTTATTTTTATTTTATTAAAAAATCTTTTTTAAAAATTTTTTTATATCTTTTGTCTTTTTTCATTTGGTTACAAATAAAAACAAAATAAAATAAAAATAAGTTTAAGTTGTGTTAATATTATATAAGACTTTTTAATTGTTGATTTTTTTTTTCATTAATTAAATTTAAGTTGTTTATTAAATCTTAATAAATCATTATAATAAAAATTGCATATATAAATCTTTTCAATTTAATTAATTTATCTATAATATTAAATTTTTAAATATAATTTATAGAGATAATATATTACTCTTTTATTAATTAAGATTAAGATTCAATTTGTTTAATAAAGTTATAATTTATAGATTATCTTTATAAATTTTTTTAATTAATAATAATATATATGTAAAAAAATATAAATAGCTTTAAAATTTATATATAACAAAGTTTAAATTAAATAAATATATATATATATAAATACTAAACTTTTTTTAATAATATTTTATAATTATAAATAAAAAAATATTTTATATTTTTAATTCTTACTTTTTTTAGATTTTTTTTAAAAAATTTTTTCTTTTTAAAATATATTTATTTTAAAATCAATCATATTATTTTATTTTATTATTTCTTTAAATATTTTAAAACCAATTTCTTTTTAGTAAAAACTTATTTTTTAAATATTTTAACAAATAAATATATCTTTTTTTTTAATATTATTTTAAAAAATATAATTAATTTTTTTTTTAAAATATTAGCAAAAGATAATATAATATATTATTTATTTTATAAGTAAATATTATTTCTTTATTTAATTTATATATAATAAAATATACAGTCTGGTCCAAAAAAAACCAGAATTGAATTTTTCTTATAATTTAATAAATAATAATTTAAATTAAATAAACTTCTAATATATATATATATATTTTATTGCAAATGAGCATAATATGTGCGATTTTTATTAAACTTGTATTTATAATCAGTACATAAACAATCTTTATATTGAGTAAGTTAATTATAACCTATTGCAACAACTTAGTAGAACCAATTTACACTATATAAGTAGATTAGACACTATTAATGCTGAATGGCTTGTGCTCATTCAGAACAATGATGTTAATGTAGAGGAGAATATAAGTTTGTTAGTATTTAAATAATTAGCTTCTAATATGTTAATAATGGTTGAGAATACACTATCAATATTTTTTGCCTGGGGTTGAGTATTCATTGCCTTTATTTTCTTCCAAGCTATTCAAGCAGAGAGTGAGGTGATTGTGGTTTCAGATCTTTGTTTCCATATCTTGTAGAGAATTTTTAGTAATTTATTTGAAATGCAATCTTTGTTTTTGGTGACGGTTTCAAAAGAGGTTGGTAAATACACAAGGGCCATTTGAAATATAAGCTGGCCGGTGATAGCTGTGGTACTAATTGATTGAGTGTGGAGATTAGCCCTTGAGGTATAATCTTGTTGACTTTGTTGAATTAGATCAATAAGCTTGGACCTTTTTTTGATAATATACCTATTGCTATGTAAACAGTGCAAAAAGTGACTAAGAGTTTCTTTTTCAATGTCACACCTTGGGCAGATGTTGTGAGGGGTATCTCTTGTGGAGTTTGGATTTCATGAAAAGCTGGTCTGCTAGAAGTTTGGTTCGAAAGATAGAAAGAGATCTGTATTTAAGTGAGTCACTTTTCTTGAGCTTTTTGTTGATATTGATAATGTTCTTAAACTGGTTAAATGAGGTGGGCTTGTATATTGCTAATTGGCTAAGGGTAAAGTCATAAAAATTTGAATAGAGATTTACAAATTTGATCCAGTAAGTTATACTTATTGCATTGGCATTGTTGATAAAAGGCAATAATAAGAAAAATATGGATAGCATGGTTGATGAAGTTAAAAGAGGAGTTGCTTGAGATATTGGTTTGGTAGAGAGTTTAAGCTTATCCCATGTAATGGTTAGACTTTTGAGAGTGGTTTCTCTATTGATTCTGCTAATAAGTCTGGAGAATATGACTTTGACTTGTCTATTAATATATTCTGGAATGTGAAGGTCATGTTTGGATGGAACTTTGCAGACTATGTAGGTGTTAGGCCCAGAGTTAATTACTGTTTGAAGGAGAATAGGCCAGAAGGTTGTCCAGATATTGAAGTTATTGGAATAGGAGAGCAGGAGGGTACTGGTTTGGATGTTAATAACATTAGAGTATATGATGAAGTGGAATGGGTTATTAGCTGATTATTAGTTGAAGGTGGTTGTATTATTAGCTAAGGAATGTGTGTGGATATAGGGGTAAGAAATAAAATCAGTTCATTAACATTGTTGAGAAGTTCATGGTAGCTGTTATATTTTATGGTCCAGGTTGATTTGAGTTTGCTGAGATACTTGCTCTTAAGGCAAGGTTGTGTTGGACAAAAACAAGTAGTAATATGTTTGTTGCTTGAAGTGAGAACATGGTGTCTTCCGGTAAATGAGGATCGAACTATGGCATTGTGTCTCACTTTGATAAAGCTTAAGTGATTATTTTTCAGAAAGCTCCAAAATCTGGGACTCAGATTTGATAGGGGTGGAGTGTCATCAATGAGTAGTGATGATATGTTTGTTAGGCTAGTAAATCAATAAAGTATGGGGCCTTTGGTAATAAAGCCCTTGTGAGTGTGGAGTTCTTGCCAAGTGAGTTTAGAGAGCTCATTAAAGACGAGTATGTTGGGAAAAATTTTGATATTAGAAAAGAAGAGGGACAGAGCTGTTTTTTTACTGATTTTTGTGAGCCGACTGATTGAGACTTCATGGTTGGGCATATTGAATGGGCATGGGTTTGAGCAGACATTGATATGGTATTTGATAGCAATTTTGATTGCTTGTGTTAGCCATGAGTTTTTAAATAACTGTGGGAACAAATGAAACATGACCAGATGACGTATGTGGCTTGTATTGATACGATTTCACATTTGGTAGACTGAAAGGTTGCTGGGTTGGCAAGCCTTGTGACCAAGAGTTTGATTACTGTAATGTCTCTTTTATTCTGCAAGTTGATTAGGTCTAAGCCTGCTTTGGAGTGGGTAATAAACTTTTAATATATATTATTTACATTAAAAGAAATAATATATTAAAGTTTTATTAATATTTAATTAATAATTTATTTTAAAATATCAATTTAAAGTTGAAAAAAAAATTTTTTTAACAATTACAAATTTTATATATAAATTTATATATAAATTTTGTTCAGAAAATAAATTTTTACTATAGTAAATTTTTTTAAAAAAATTAATTATAAAATTAAAAAAAATTTTCAACTTATAAAAAAATTATTAAATACTTCTTATTATATTTGAATAATAATATTAAAATTTTTTTATTTTTGATTTTGTAAAATTAATCTTAAAAAATTTTTAAATTCTTTAAAATTTTGATTTTAATATAAAACTTAAAAAATTCATATAAAATTTTAATTAAATTATTAGATAAACCAAAAATTTTTTAATAAAAAAATTATAAAAAATCAATTTATTATAAAATATGTTATTATTTAACAAATTTATCTATTGAAAGAATTTTAAGAATTTTTTATTGATAACTTTTTCTAATGAATTTAAATTTATCAAAATTTTTTTAAAAAAATTTTTTAAGTTAAAATTTAAGAATATTTTAATAATATATTTTAAAAAAGTTTATTCTTTTTTTTTTTTTTTTTAATCCCGCAATCAGGTTGGTGTCGTTTATTTATTTAATCATAAAGAACCATTACAAGTTG